TGACAACACCATGGGAATTTCTAGTAACCCAGACCCTGGGCAAAGCAGGAAGGACTGGTGCATGTCTGCCTCTGCAGCAGTGCTTGCTGTATGGGGAAGGCAGCCCATGGCTTCTGCGCCTCCTTTTTCGGGTGTCTCTGTGGGAGCTGGAGCCTGCTTGTATGAACTTGCATGGGGGGAAGGAGGGGTGAAAGCCCCTGCTGTTGTACTTTAGTTTTGGGTAGATCTCACCAATCTTTTGGTTGAATTGGAATTAAGAATTGAAAAATACCAAGAGCATTTACTGCACTGTCTTGCCCAAGTAAAGAAAACCAGGTAAGCCTGAAATGTGCCTTGCTGTCCTTAGGCTGCATTCCTGCAGATGGACCACATCTCTGGTGGTTGCTGTGCTTTGATTTGCCCCTCCTGGCTCCTTGTTCCTGCCTGCAGCGACCGCGTGTGGGGCTGTGCAATGGAATGGAGCTGAGCCGTGACCCAAATGAAACAAAACCCTGCAAAACAAGGAAAAGGTTCTTCACCAAGAGCGTAGTCGGGCACTGGAACAGGCTCCCCAGGGAAGTGGTCACAGCACCGAGCTTGACTGAGTTCAAGAAGCGTCTGGACAATGCTCTCAGTCATATGCTCTGATTCGGCTGGTCCTGTGTGGAGCCAGGAGTTGGACTCGATGATCCTTATGGGTCCCTTCCAACTTAGGACATTCTATGATTCTATGAAAACTGATCCCCTGCGAGGCTGGCGGGAACAGCCCCAGGGGTCATGAGCCGTGAGGGCGGGATGGGGTGCGAGCTGTATAAACTGCCTCTGGGAGAAACGGCTATGAAACCCAGTTTTCTGCCCAGCTGCCAGCCTTGGGCTCTGCTCCTGTTTCATCTCACAGTAGGGCCTGTCTCTGCTGTAGCCAGCCCTATTTGTGATTTAAACAAACGCAGTTAGGGGTGGCTGAGGCATGGACAGGCATCCCTGCCCTTGCTGTAGGGCCTTGTCTCTGCCAACGGGTGGGACAGGCAGGCAGCCTTCAACCGCTGCAGCCCTGTGCCTGCGAACACAAGAAGATAGAAAGGAAAAAGACAAACCCCAAACCTAAGCAAACAATGTTGCACTCTGCATTTTCGGGTTTTTTTGTTTTTGTTTTTTTTAAAGGCATATAACTCAAAGTGTCATGTGTTGCTGAGATGCACATTCCTGACCGTGGCAAGCAGGGCAGAGGTTGAGACACATCTTCCCTGGGGAGAGGGAGGGTTGTGTGAGCCTGAGTCAGCAGCAAAGGTCACTTGGCTGAAAGGCTCGGCTTGCAGGAGGAGGAGATTTCGTAACGGTAACTGATGCAATGTTTCTGTGTTCAGCGCTGATGCGGCAGTAGGTTAGTATGTGTGCATGTAGGGGAGAAACACTGATTTTGGTGAACGACAGGGCATCGATGGCCAGCCTCACCTGCCCGCTCCACCTCCCAAATTACTTCTCTGTCTCCCTTACTGCTCAGTCCTTGCTTTCTCCCCTCCTGTGCCCCCACTTTTTTGTCTCTTCAGTTCTGGCATTTAATCTCATGGTTGTGTTATTTGTTTTATGGCCTTGGCTCATCTTCCAGTTCCCATTTGGGGTCATTATCACATATGATTAGTCTTGGAGCCTAATGAAGGGGATCAGACATAACTCTAGGGTATGTCTGAGCCATTTAGCATTTCTGAGCTCAAAGATTGGTGGAGGAAGTTTAGTTCTAAGCTTCCTGAGAAGATAAATTTGAATGTTGGATTGTTTAGGGTACAAGTAATAGAACTGAAATCCCCCCAGGAGGGAGCAGTGCCCTCTGGGATTTAAAGCATCCCAAGGATAATTATCCAGTGCTAAGTAAGTCTCGTTAGTCTTGAAATAGCTTTTAGTAAATGATACATTTTTCTTCATGTTGGCTAGTGTGAAAGCTTGAAACTGTATATTAACATTTAGCCTTCACTGTAAGAGCAGTGTCAACAGAATCACAGACTGGTAGGGGTAGGAAGGAACCTCTGGAGATCATCTAGTCCAACCCCCATGCTAGAGCAGGATCACCTACAGCAGGTTGCACAGGATGGCGTCCAGGTAAGTTTTGAATCTCTCCAGAGAAGGAGACTCCACAACCTCTCTGGGCAGCCTGTCCCAGTGCTCGGTCACCCTCAGAGGGAAGAAGTTTTTTCCCATGTTGAGATGGAACTTCCTGTGTTCCAGTTTGTGCCCATTGCCTCTTGTCCTGTCACTGGGCACCACTGAAAAGAGTCTGGCCCCATCCTCTAGACATTCACCCTTTAGATATTTATAAGCATTGATGAGATCCCCTCTCAGTCTTCTCTTCTCCAGGCTAAACAGCCCCAGCTCTCTCAGCCTTTCCTCATATGAGAGATGCTCCAGTCCCCTCATCATCCTTGCAGCCCTCCGCTGGACTCTCTCCAGCAGTTCCCTGGCTTTCTTGAACTGGGGAGCCCAGAACTGGATGCAATATTCCAGATGTGGCCTGACCAGGGCAGAGTAGAGGGGGAGAATAACCTCCCTCAACCGGCTGGCCACGGTCTTCCTAATGGACCCCAGGATACCATTGGCCTTCTTGGCCATGAGGGCACATTGCTGGCTCATGGAGAGCTTGTTGTCCATCAGGACCCCCAGGTCCTTCTGCACAGTGCCACTTCCCAGCTGGTCAACCCCTGACCTGTACTGGTGCCTGGGGTTATTCCTCCTGAGGTACAGGGCCATATACTTGCCCTTGTTGAATTTCATTTGGTTCCTCTCTGCCCAGCTCTCCAGCCTGTCCAGGTCTCGCTGAATGTCGGCACAGCCTTCTGGTGTGTTGGCCACACAGTTCTTAATGCTGTTGTTGTTACCCAATCCCACTTGGGGAAGGCCAGGCATGGAGATACAAAACAACAACCCCAGAAAATAAAGGGCATTTTTTGAGGGTGCTCTTTAAGGTCCCACTCTTTCACTGTATTAAGAGATAGGAGGGAGCTGCAAGGTCTCGTGTGTTGGAGCAAGATGAGGTTAGAGCATCCCCAGGACAGCCCCAGCTGCTGCTGTTTGGTGGCACTTTGCAGGGGACCATAGCTCCAGCTCAGCAAAGCAGCAGTAGGGCAAGTGCCGCGCTGTGTCACTGGCCCAGGGGAGGTGACACGTCTGTGTGTGAGTCAGCCGTGACCCTGCTAACCATCTGCTGATATGAGGCAGATCATTAGTCACTAATTGGTGTGTTTACCCTTTTTTTGAGGCTGCTGGAAAGGCCAAGGATCACATAGACACATGAAGCAGCTGAGTCAGTTTTCCACCTCTTTTGCTTTCAGGTCCACCAGGCTCTTGGTGGTGCTCGGAGAGCTGTTTGTGTGCCCTGCCAGGCAGACCCAGACTGTCTCAGTTTTATCTGGTACTCTCTGGCTGTTTGACTAGAAGCCTGTCACAAGCTGTACGGTGGGTCTGGGGTCTGTAGCTGGGGCCTTCTGCTGTGTGGCAATGACACACACACACACACCCCCACCCCCCAAGGAAGGACCTTTGGAGGCAGCAGGAGAGGGCACTCTGCCTTTGGGCTGAGCACAAAGAAGCTTGTTTCACCCATGCTGTGTTTGCTCCTTTCATCAGTTCCGTAAAATCCCTCCAAGCAATCTGGGGCTTTACTGAGGGTAGCAATTTCATAATACTTTTTTTTCATCCTCCCCATCTTTGGCTCTATCTCCTCATCCAGTGCCTAATCTGTAGGTACTGGTGGGTTAGGTACCGATGCTTAGGTATCACCCTACCTGGTGATTTTACAACTGATTTTACAACAGATTTACAACTGATGGCTTGTAAATCTATCTTTTTACTGATATCTTACGTCATTACCCCAGACCAGTCTTGAGGACAAGTCTTTGATGCCACGTATAATACCTGGATCCTCCTGGACACAGCTGGGTTTGGACAAGGGAGCCCTTCTGCTCCCTTGTCTGTGGGTTTTTCTGTCTCCCTAAAATCTCCAACTGAATCTCTTCTGCCTGTTGCTGCTTTTCTTGAAGGTTACAGACCCCTTCTCTGGTTGTGGTGTCAGCAGCACCCTTGGGTGCACTGGAGATGGAGGTGTGGATACTCATTCCTTCATGCCTTGCTCAGCTGCAGCAAACTCTACATTTATCTGTTTGGTCATCCCCATACTTCAAGTGGCCTAAGGAAGCCCTGTAGGTCTTCCCCCGTGTAGGCAACCCTGCCCATCTCCTGTGACATTGCTGAAACATCTCTGCATCCTGCAAAGGAGGTTGGACTTGGTGGGGGTATGTGTGCTGGGTACCCCCAGGCTCCTCTCTGTTCACTTCCCGTTTGTGCTTTATGCCAGGCAAGCTATCCTCACAAAACTACAGAAAATCATCTTAGTAGAAATTTTCCTAATAGATTCTATTATTTCTTCTTTTTTAAAATCCTCTCCTAATATATTTTAGCCAAACTGTTACCCCACTCCCTGCTATGATTTTAGCAAATGAGCTCTTTCAGTCTTTAAGGCAAATGCTGCTGCTTTCATTGTAAAATTATTTTAATTTCCCCATCTGTTCAGCCCTTATGTGTGCCCCAGCCCTGCTCTGTGGGTACCCAGTGCCTGCCTGGAGGAGCTCATGGGGGGTTTCTGGCTTTTGCCCTAGCAGAAATAAATGATGTGATCCCCTTGGACAACATGGCAAAGTCCACATTGTCCTTTGGAGCTGACGTTGTTAAAAGCAAAAGAAACATTTGGGGAAATCGGTGGCTCAGGTTGTGGAGCGTTGCTTGGAAAGCTGAAAACCAGCATCTCTAATTCGTGGGCAGCCAGGTGAGATGGTGTGAAAGCCAAAATGTGGCCAAAGTTTTGCAGTAGCTGACGTTGGTCTACGTGGATGCCCCAGTTTGGAGGAGGAAGGGCTCTCCTCCCTTATCTGAGGAGCCACGCGCGTGCCAGGAGACCTTTGTTCTGAATATTTGGAGGTATAAAAAATTTCCCCACCACCTTGGTTCACATTGTGTTGCGCTCTCTGTCTCTCTTGCAGCTGCGTAAATGAGTATGGAAGATTATGATTTCCTTTTCAAAATTGTTTTAATTGGCAACGCTGGTGTGGGGAAGACCTGCTTAGTCCGTCGCTTCACTCAGGTAAGGCCGGCTGCCTCTTGGATATGGGATGTCGGGATGGGGACAGCTGGGATGGGAGCGTGGAGCCTGCGGCTGCACCGAGGGCTCTGCTGACATCACGGCTCCAACGCATTTTGTTGTCCACGCTCTTGGTGTGTGCATCACCTATAGCGACATACTGGCACAAGCAGCACATCTGTGTCTAGTGCTGTACTTGGCCCTGTTGGGGATCTTGTGCTGGAGAAACTCATCCCTCTCTGAAGGTGGAAAGTCCCCTCTGAAAGCTGCTGGGACAACTCCTCCTGATTTAGAGGTGCTCTGGACAGGTTATAAGGACCAGCATGTCTCCTGGTGTGCTCCTATGTGCCTTCTCCTCCCCATCCCTTGCTGCACAAAGCTCTGCCTGTTATTGTCATTAATAGATAATTAAATAATCTGGGTCCTGGGCTGTCAGTCCAGTGCCTTCTGTTAAACATCAGACTGGGTTTTTTTTATGGCACAATAACAGGGAAAGAACCAGGCTTCTGTGATCTGGGGCAAGAGAAGGTTTTGTATGATGCACTATAAAACAGAAGTTGTGGGTGTTTTGTTGCACTCTCCACTAGGAATTGTCAGTGATTTTCCCCCTCACTGCTAATTTTAGTTTTAAAGCAGTGGCAATGTTAAACACTCTCCAACCGTATGTGACAGCTGGTGGCAATAAAGCTAGTCAACCCCAAAGGGTTAACTACAAAAATTCATGGCCACTTCTGCTTGTGTTTTGACAGCGCAGCTGCTGTAGGGGATGGATGTGCCCCAAAATCAACACGACTTTATAGACCTAGACACCAGAAATCCAAAAGCTCTGTTCAATTTTTTTTGGTTTGCTGTTGCTCCTTCCCGATGGTGCTGCAATCAAATACCACCAGCGTCACGCCTGCCCTTGCTATTGCACCAATAGTGGCTGGCTCCGTGCTTCGCTCCCAAAATGCTGCGCAGGGATGTAACCCCAGTGCTGGGAGCTGCCAGAAATGCCTTGCCGTGCTGTGGCGTGTGATGGAGGGGAGAGGGAAGGCATGAGGTCACGGGAGCAAAGGCGTCTCATCCCACATGGGGAAATGTCACGTTTTCCTCTCTAAATGTGATGGAAATGAGTGTCTGGGGAAGGGGATGAGGGAGGAATAGTTTTGAGGATGGAAAAGGGTGAGGATTGGCACCCAGAGAGCATTTTGTCTTGCTACAGAAATTTGCTTAATGAACTCTTGTTTTCTTTCAGGGGCTTTTCCCACCGGGTCAAGGAGCCACGATTGGGGTTGACTTTATGATTAAAACTGTGGAGATAAATGGTGAAAAAGTAAAGGTAGGAGCCTGATGGTTTTAAGTGTAAACTTGTGTGGCACTACCATAGCTGAGGTTTCTTGCTGCAGCCCTCTCGCTGCTGGACGGCATGTGGGGAAGCTCAGGGCTGTCTGGCGTGGCTCAGGCAATGCTGGGTCTAACAATCTTTGCGCCCCTCTCCACAATTACCATCAGGATCGTAACAGTGAACCTACTCTGAGGGAGAAAACGGAAAGGGGAGGTCTTGCAAAACTCTGTCCTTGCTTAGGAGACACTGAGATCGTGCCTGGCTGGGGTTGAGGAAGCGCAAACCTCTGCTCACGGCACTTTTGGTAAACAGAAATCTGTTGCATTCCCACTGGGATGTGCTTGATCAAGGTCTTCTCCTGTGAGCTCCCAAGATGGCTGTTGGGAAGGGCAGGTTTCTGGACTTGAGTGGTTCTGCACAACAAAGGCTCATCTTCCACTTCTGCTGAGTTATGAATTTGGGAGAGGCCGAGATGGTCACAATATTTACGCTTCAGTCAACAGGTTGAATTGAGAAGGGCAATGTCCTCCATATTATTGACTCTTTCACCTTCCAGAATAGGGTGGTTGCAATCAAACTGCTGTTTTCCTTGCCCTGTGCTAACTTCCGAACAGTGCCTGAGCATCGCTAATGCTGCTTCGTTCATTAGTAGAGATTTTGCTAGAGCTATTGTGGTGTCCAAGAGGTGGGGGAAGAGCATGGTTATCTGACCCTCTAATGTCATGATGTCTAGGGTCCCTGAGCTGCTTCTGGAATTATTCTGCCTGCATTAAACCCACAGGCATCAAAATGGAAAACAGGTTTTTCCCTTTGCTGCCATCATCAGATCTAGTGGTGAGCAAATGGGAGAGCGGCAGCAGTGTGACAGTGGCTGGGTGTGACATCGAGACCCATTTTTAAGCTTGTGCGAGTGATCGGATGGAAACAGTGGACTTATGCAGATCTTCAGCCATGGGGTTTTTTCCCACCTGTATTTCAGTGCAGAGGTTTCTTAAGAAAATCAGGTGGTGTGTTCCTAAGTTTAGAACAGATTTTAAGTCATGATTATGTCAGCAGGCTGCCACGTCACTGCGTGAGGAGCTGTACAAACCTATGGCAAGTGATGGTCCTTGACCAGAAGACTTTCCAGCCTAAGCAGGTGAAGGTCAAGAGGTGTAAATACTTTCCCCTGACAGAGTTAATGTTCAGCACATTGCTCTGCAAGTGGGACAGAGCAGCAGGCAGGAAGGCAGAGAGGGTCACGTGTAGCCCCTGTGGTGTCGGTATTTAGCTCGGTAGTTGTGGTGGTCATTAGCAGGTGTCTGGCATAGCAGGGTTGGACAGGAAACGGATGCTGCTTGTCCAGGCTCCTCGGACAGCAGAGATGCTTCTTTCAGCCAAAACCAGCTCCAATGGAGCAGCTCAGAGGATCTGAGCTGGTAAATGGATTAAGTACTGCACTGAAGGGGGAATTAATTTTTTCCCTTATACCTGGCTTAAACCAGCTATCTCCAAGATTGTCCTGGTCAATGAAGGGAGAAAAGCAGTCTCTGAGGAAAATTAATCCCATCCGCTTCAGACACCTCTCCTTCCCAAGCATCTGGTTCCCTGTCGGGTACAGATGGAGCCTTAAGAACATCATTTATATCTGAGGTCTGGTTTTTGGACTTACCCTAAGGATTCGTCTGCGTTTGACTTGTTGCTCCCATGACATCAACCTGGTTTAAGAGTAGCTTGAACTGAGGATGCAAACTCTTTAAGAGAATTGGGAGCAGCCATGCCAACATGGGCTGTCTCAGCAGCAAGGATGGTTCGGGGAAGCTCTACAACCTCAATTCACTCATCAGCCCCTGCTGCCCTGCCCATGTCTGATGAATGCACAAGTGTCCACCCAAGCAAGTCTCTTAATCACCTTGGGGCTGGCTTGTGTTTCACAGAGCCTCAGCAAGTGGTAGCTGGTATACCAACTGTATTTCACATAGCAAATAATGAGCTGTTAAATCAAAGTCCCTCTCCTGACCCCACCAGTGGATTAAATTGGAGTCACTGGAGCTCAGCCATAATGGCCAAGCTTGGGCAGAAGCTTAGTATGATATGTTTGGGCATCTGAACGAGCCTTCTGGAGTCCGAAAGGCAAATGGATTTCTTTCAGGGAGTGACCTTGTAGCTGAAACTTTTTGAGTAAGCAGTGCTACTGAGAATAAACATTTAATGAGCGGGAAAAGCAGGACTGAGTCAGAGCATAGCACAATGAAAATGACATCTCAGTCAAACGAGGTGCTTCTGTGACTGTTAGCTCCTTAAACAGTGCCTGAGCTGTGACCGCACTTCTGTGCCAGGCAGCATCTCCTGCATGTCTGCTGGGATCCAGGATGACAGAGCAGAGCTGTTTACCAAAAGGCTTTTCAGACTTGAAAATAAGTGATAGATTTCTGGGGAAAAATAATTTCCAGCTTTCAAAATTGCATTTGAAAGTCAGTGGAGAGGGAGTTGCTAGCATGAAAGCTGTGTGCAAGCCATCTCAGATATGAGTGGCTACTAAAGCTTGCTGACAGATGAGCTGAAATGGCACTGCGCAGTTGAGGGGACTTTTGATCTGCCTGGCTTTTCCTAATAAAACCAAAAATATGTACACCACCTGTACCAGGAAGCTACACAAATTCCAGCCAAGTAGATAGCAGTTATGCTGATCAAAGCTAAGCATCCTCAGTGCTGCAGAGGGCTATGCTATATGGACCTGTGATCTTAGTGTACTTGGTGGAAATGTTCATATGCATAAAGCTAAAGGTATGTTCAACTGTTGGGAGAACGGGAAGCATCAGCTGGCTCCCAGAAAAGAAACATCTACGTTTTCTGCAGGCTGAGTCAGGTACTGTCCTTTGGTTCCTCTGGAAAAAATGGATACAAGTAAAATGATTGCTGTGAAATATTTTACTTGGCAGAAATAATCAGCGGGGTGAAGTGTGAGATTTTCCTGCGTTTTGTGTGCTGGAAGAGTTTATCAGTGGCTGTAAGGTTGGGGGCTCTTCCCTGTCTTCTGCGCCCAGCTCACAGGTAGACTCACAGCTGCAGCCAGTAAGAAACCCTCTCCTCCAGGGCAATCCCTTTTGCTTTCAATGTCCATTATATTAAAGCAGTGGAAGAACATCTTCACACCAAGTTTTTATCAGCTTGGAGATCTTCTCAATAAATGCAAAACATACATAAGCTGGAGTTAAGCAGTAGACCAATCAGTAAATGTTTTTCCTGGGAAATAGCTGAGCAACAAGAAAATTATCTGTATTTTTCCACCTACCAGAGTTTGGAGGCTGGTTTGTTTTAACAGGGACTTTCTTTTTATCTAAATTTTGTGTGCAAATAATTTAAGTTATGGTTTTGTATGTCACTTAACTGTAGGTGCCAGGTTCAGCCATTTAAATACAACTATACCAAGAGATTAAGCACAAAGGTGCCCAGGAGCTGTGAGCCACAGATTACTTTCTCTGCAAAAATTGGAGTTTTTCAAAATCATACCCCGTGTCTGAAAGCTGCTACTGGAAGCTCTCATTTCAAACTAACACATTTATGATGAGTAGCTGGCGTAGTTCGACTTTGGAACTGGACAAGAATAAGGTTTTCTCTGTTACGGGCTGCTGAATATATGGAAAAAATCTCAAATACTTTACTTTTTTCTGCCCAGAGTACACAGGACTCTGGCTGGAAATCAACCTTTCACATATTTAATTCCAGGGAGGGGTGCTTTAAAAAAAATAAAAGCTGAAGCAGAGAAGTATTCTTTTATGCTGAAATGGTTTAATTTGGGAAGTTTGTTTCTTTGACTGCCTTTCTGAAGAACTGAGGTTTTGATGACCCACCAAAAACTATCATATGGTCAAATAATAAAAACAGTATGAGTTTAGTTTGTATTGGGAAATGCATGTTGTCTTCCTGGACCCAGAGGCTTTGGCAAACACTCGTGACCTCTTTGATATAGTTAAGGACGCGTCAACCAGTTCTACGTGTTGGGAAGGCAGGCAGCGAGCTACTGGGTGAGATGTAGAGAGGAAACGCGTTGGAGTCCGTGGATCAGCCTTCGGCTGAGCCCCTTGGTCAGTCCTGTGCTTTCCGCCTGTCCGTGCATCATCGCGGGATAACTAAAACTGCCTCTGGGAGCAAGAGGAGAGGCTTTCTTATTTCTTCATGGGACGGATGCTGCTGTTGGTTGGACTTAAGGGGCAGAAGTGACTTCCTCGCTCCAGCGCCTGGGTTGTAACTCCAGGCCAGCAGCTCTGCCCGCAGCAGAGAGAGATGCTGGAAGTCCCATGAAAGCCTGCAGATCTGCCCCTTCCAGGGGCCGCAGTGCCAGCTGACTTTGTGCCTTGCATTTCAATCCACAAGTGCAGGAATGGAAACAAAAAAAACGCTGGGAGAGGGGAAGCCAGAGGGGAGAGGAGCTAAGTGCTTTCCCAGCATTGGTTTAACCCTGAAGGGGTTGCTTTTTTAGGTCAAAACAGTGCTGATATCAAATGAAAAAAGTTTGTTTGGTTGGTTTTTTTTTTTTTCCTTTTACTACCCTACCTTGTTATGCCAAAAGCTGCAGATCTGGGACACAGCAGGACAAGAGCGATTCCGGTCCATCACGCAGAGTTACTATCGCAGTGCTAACGCGTTAATCTTGACCTACGACATCACCTGTGAAGAATCCTTCCGGTGCCTCCCCGAGTGGCTGCGAGAAATCGAGCAGTATGCCAGCAATAAGGTCATAACTGTGCTAGTGGGTAAGTGGCGATAGTCCCTAGCGAGGTGGTGCGATGAGGGGGTGAGCTGTGCGTGTCAAGGGGTTGGTGGCAGATGGATGTGTTAGCAGCAGGAAAACGTGGTGTCCGTGTGAACTGGTGGTGCAGGAAGCTCGAACTGGTGCAGCAGATCTTGTGGCCAAACAGAGCTGTAACTGCAGGTGGGCGCAGGGTGCACCCGGCTCCTTAAACCTAGTGCTTGGACCATTCCTTCTGCAGATAACCCCAAGATGCTGGTAGTGATGTTCAGGACACCACAGGCACTTCTCAAATTGTGGTCCTGTCTCAGGTCTAAGGCTATTGCATGCAGAGGTGGATACTTCCCACCAGCTTATCCCATATGGGACTAAAGTGTTGATGGTGCAGCTACCAAGTGAGCTAAGAATAGAGCAGTTTCCCTTGTGACTCCCAGCTCAGATCTCTACAAATATACAAGGATCTGCTCAAGCTGGGGTTGCCTCTGGGTTGCTGTACACCATAGCTGTGGGACAACCAGGGTCTTGTCTTGCATGGGTCGGGATCCGGGAACCAGATCAGGATGTGATGGTTGTGTGGATCGTAGCATTCATAGGTGAGACAGAGGTGGAAAACTGGGTATTCTTGCATGGATTTTAGGGAAACTAAAAATAAATAACTGAATGTTAATCTGTAGAGCTGCAACTCAAGCTAAAGCAGACCTCAGGCCATCTGTCTGCTACAAGCAAGGTGAAGATTATTTTGCCTACCCGTGCTTTTCCATGCTCTGCCTTCAGCATCTGATACTCAGGACCCAAGAATATATAAAGAACAATGCAAAAATAACTTGAGGAACACCAGAAAGTTTCTTGCTGCAATGTTGATATCACATTTAATAGTTTGCTGTTTAAAAAGAAAAAAAAATCTGGAGGGTTGTAAAATGTGTTTAAGGTAGCTTTAAAAATCTTTTGAGCTTTACATGCCCCAGTGGTATTTACAAGCGAGCCTTGGGCTTTACAGAGCTTCTATACAAGAAACTCATTATACTCCATGAGAAGGGTATGGCACATGTACAAATGGCACAGAAATAATCAATGCATGACTAACAAATGTATAGATGATTTTTTTTAGGGAACATTAAGTTAATTAGCAAGATCTACAGTGCAAAATATAAATGATAACAGCCATAACACATGCTTTGAAGATGGTGACATCCATAAACCACTTGTGTTGAGTGATAATTTGTTTAGAAAGGTAACCTCAGTGTATACAGTGGGGCCAAGAAACTGCTTTATCAGGAAAGAAAGGGGATCTCAGACGAGAGGAAGGTGATGAGATGTGGCTTGCCAGTGGCAGTGCAGTCTTTCTTCCTGCTCCTTCTCATAAAATTGCTGGTAGAAGCACGGCCAGGAGATGTTTCCTCCTGAACCTTCCAGGTCCCTGGACACAGCCCCCTGTTATTGCAGCTCCTGGTTTATCTTTGTAAGATTAATTTATGGCAGAAATATCGTGTTTGAAGTGGCTGGTAATAGAGTATAATCATATCAGACGCTTGCTTGAGGCTTTAATCAGCTCTGCTAAACCAAGCTCTCCAAAGGAAGGGACTGGTTTCTCACCCCACCTCATTCTGTGAGTGCCTCCGAGCCCGTCCCTCTTCCAGCCTTAACAGCCAAATTCTTCATGGGAATATTGAAATAGGAAAGCTGCCTTCTGTGCCAGGCTTCTTTTAAAGCTTGTAATGACATAAGAAATATCACGTTTAGTGTCTCATATGCTATAATTGACATTTTAAGTGCTCCTCAGAGCAAGAACAGGAGAAATTTGAATAGATATTAAAATGGAAATCCTTTAATGTTGGTTGATAGCAGCAAACAGATGCACTGGTGCTAAATTAAAGCTAACTGCCTTGGATGTTTACATGGCATATTCCATTAAATGAGCTGCTATTAAATGAACTGGGTCGCATGTATCAGGGAATCCGTTATTTGGAGGGGAGAGCAAGCACTAAGTTTCACATAAAAACCACTGTCCATACACATATACAACACCAAACTCTTCTTTATCCCTTATCAACTTCTGTTTCTCTTGTTTTGGAAGTCAAATTAATTCCCTTTCTAAAATCTTTTATCAATGCAGGTAATAAGATTGATTTAGCTGATAAGAGGGAAGTCTCCCAGCAAAGAGCTGCAGAGTTTTCCGAAGCACAGGACATGTACTATCTGGAAACCTCGGCAAAAGAATCAGATAATGTGGAAAAACTCTTCCTGGACTTGGCCTGCCGGTTGATCAGCGAGGCCCGACAGAACACCCTTGTGAACAATGTCTCGTCCCCCTTACCAGGAGAGGGGAAAAGTATCAGCTACTTGACTTGCTGTAATTTTAATTAAAGAGCTGGAATGTGATTTCCCCTTCCGCCATGGGCCAAGAGGATTTTTTTTGCTGGGATTTATCTCCTTGAAGGGAATTCCTGCCACTTTGACCCATCTGACCTGTGCTGAGTCAGGTTGCAGACCTGGAAGCATGGTAGGTGGGTGGCTCCAGCTGCATGTCAACGTAGCAGAATATAACACGGTTTAAATTTCATTTTTCTTCCAGTCTCTGGAGTGGGTTAGGAAAAGGAGAGTTGCACAAGTGTTTCATGTAATGCAGAACGTGAGTTATTGCGTTTCCTTCTACAGAAGACTGGAGCAGCATCTCTTGAGGAAGATATTGAAGAGATCAAAATCTCTCTTACACAACAATGTGTTTGGTCCTTTCTAAAATTAAAAAAAATAAGAAACAATGAACACTGACCCTGGACTATGTTGGCAATCTTCCAGGCTGCCAGTGAGTGAGCTCTTAGGACATGTATATAGTGTCTGCCCATGCGCCTTCATGGAGGACTCTGGTGTTTGAAATAGTGTTACGTCTCTCATCTACAGGCACTTTCATGAACATGGAATTAAAAAAAAGTTACATATATCAACGTTTTCAAGATTTAAGAAGACATGGATACGGCTCAGTCGCTCCCTTTGGTGCTAGCAGTTCAGCAAATATTCCATAGACCAAACGTAGTCTTACTACATTAATGTCCTCTGAATGTGTAACTTAGACTGGTTAGGAAAAAACACTAATAAGCACTGTTCATAAAAAAAAAAAAAAAAAAATAAATCTTGTTACCTCTTTTTCTAGGCCTGAGTGTAGTGGGAAAGGACTGTGCTTCTTTGATATCCAACATAGGATAAAAAGACTTTCCAGAAATAAAAAAAAAATAAAAATTAATTGTTCCTCCTCTAAATAGTAATGTCCTAATGTGAAAAATGAGCCTTGGGAAAAGTTATTGGTGGAGTTGGAGAAAGTGCACCAGACATGACCAAAATCTTGCGTGTGCATAGATTGTGTATAAGGGTTCGAAGAGAGCACAGCTTGAAGTGGCAGTCTGCAATATGTCCGGCTTAAAAATAAAGCTTGTAGATACAGTTCTCGTTGAAAGGCAGGCGTACAATTTTGCAGAGTTTTTTTTTTTTATGCGAAGTGGAAATAGCGATGGGGTTGCAAGCGGTAGCATTCTATGTCTGACCCATCTAGCGCTCACCTTGTGGAACTGCTCTCCAAGATGTTGTTGAAGGTATCTTCTTGGCATCCAGGCTCTCTGCTAGAGTAGCTTTCAGGTTTGGGGCTGTAGAGTCATTTAATTTACTTGATGCTTTGTACTCTTAATCCCAGGCTCCAGTGTACGTGTAACTGTTTAGGCAATTTCTTCTTATGAAAACCTCTGAAGTGGAAGTGCTATGGAGTTTGCGATGTTATTACACCTCTAGTGCCATATGTGAATAATGCATTGCAAATTTATACGTTGACATTAAAGTGAAATTGGAAGATAGTGAATGCACAGATAAAAATTATATTTAGAAGTTTTGAGTTCAGTTTAGCTGATCTGGATAAATCTCTCTTGGCAATTACATGGCTGTGATACGCTGTGATTTAGAGCTAATCAATTTAATATTATTTGGCTTTTACTGAAGATTATAACAGAGTTTTTGTATTGACATAAAAAGCTGCCAGTAAGTACTTATTGAAAAGAATAACAATTTTAAAAAAAAAAAAGGGGGGGGGGGCATTTTAAAATGCTTTTTCACATCTTGCTGGAAAGACTTCTTTGGGCTGTATCATGTTGTGCCTTTGATCTGTAACGGGGAGCTGACTCTGCCAGAGAGAGGCGGGATCATGTGTCATGTGGCCATTTTTAATATTTTCTTGCCATTTTTTAGGTCACTTTGTTCTTTTATGGCTAGTGGTAAACAGGAAGGTGTAGAAGTTGAGGCTTGTTTGTCGTTTAGGTAACACTTAGCAAAGAGGTTCTGTAAGTGTGAGATGTTGGGGGACACGTCATCTGATGCACTGGCCTGGTCCTTTTCCGTCTCTGCTCATGGTGTAATCCAGAGGATTTAGAAATGTGTGGGACTTTGGCTTCTGCTGTGCTGGACCGTGTGGTACAGCTTGTGCTCAAGAGCAATGTCTGCCTTGAGCATTCCTCAAATTGCCAAATGCAGCCTCTTTTGAGCTCGTGAAGACCACCCAACTCTGAGACAGCTGATTCCGCACAGCTTTTAGGTAGTTGTTCAGAGCAAGGCTGAGGGTGTTACACGTAAGGTAACACAAGTTAAAAATCAATACTATGTATATTTAATTTGTAAAAGCTCTTACTCTCCAGATGGTGGACTTGTCAGTGTATAATTGATACCAAATATGGCAGGGCTTTTGAGTTAATCAAAGAGGAAGGAGACTGCCCGCTAAAATACCTGTGGGTTCCTCAGCCTGATTTCCAAAAGTATCAAAGCTGGGCAGGCAATT